GGGTGCCCGGCGGAGAGCCAGACCTGCCGCAGACGGCCTGGCTGCCGTGACCTGTCTCTGCTCGCTCCTGCTTCAACTGCAGACTTGGAAAAAGGCTCCAAGCTCCCGTACCAAGCACGGAGGCGTTGAGTCTCCCGCTTCCCTTTTCATAAAAGCCCCGTTTGCGCAGCCCGCTGCGCGGAAGCGGTGATAGTGATTAATGCTGTCAGCCCTCAAGGGAGGCTTCAGCCTCAGGAATCTTTGGTATTAAAATTAATTTGCCGCTCCAACAAGCAGGTACCCAATTATTTACCTTGTCCATCACGGGGGCGGGCGTCAGCGTGGCTGGAAGCGTGCTGCGCCAGTTCGTTACCCCGACGCGTGCTGCAGTGTCTGCTCAGTGCTGGGGGCCACCTGGCAGCCCTTCCCTGGGTGACCTGCAGGAGAACCTTCTGGAGGTGCCGTTTGTTTGACTTCGCAGGTCGATTCGGTGCAAGTGGTAAGGGAAACCCTCCGAGGTGCTGGCTGTGCTGCCGCAAGAACGAGCAGCAGTAGAGGGACCTCATGGTGTTTATGTGTTTTTATAAATAGATTTAACATTGTTATTTTGTGAAGTGATTTTAGGAAAACAAGTTTCACTGCCCCTGCATGTAACCTGGAGGGAATCATAGAATGGTTTGGGTTGGAAGGGACCTCAAAGATCATCTAGTTCCAACCCCCCCTGCCATGGGCAGGGACACCCTCCACTACACCAGGTTGCCCAAAGCCTCATCCAGCCTGGCCTTGAACACTGCCAGGGATGGGGCAGCCACAGCTTCTCTGGGCAACCTGTGCCAGGGCCTCACCACCCTCTGAGTGAAAAATGAAGTTTGAATGTTGAAGGGAGATCTTTAAGTTCGTTTCTGGGTGGCAAATACCAGCAGCTCGAGTCCATGTTCTTTTCTCATGGTTAAAAACTCACGACTTGATGCTTTGGTTGGACTCAGGTGGATCTTACTGCAGGATCAAGTGTTTCGTGTCTGTCACTGTGTAGATGTCTCACATGGAACCTCTACAAACTGAGACTGTGACAGTTCAGTGTGACCAGTGCGATTCTCACCAGGCTTTTACGTTACTCTTTGCTGCATTTTTCTCCTCTCTGCTGTTTCTCTGCCCGTGGTGTGCGAGATGCTGCCTTGGTGGGTTCTACCTGTTGCCTCTGGGGAGTTCAGGTGGTTGCTCTGCAGCGGATGGCGCGTGCTTTGGGATGCAAGGTGCTGTTCTACACAGTACATGCTTGTATAGAAAAACCTTTCGTGTTTTTCTCCTGTCCACAGGTACTGAGCCCAGGAGCACCTTTCCCTTGGGATCTATCCGTGCCGTCACCTGCTGCTGTGCCTGCTCTAACAGCATCCGGAGGGACCCCCACCAGCTGCTGTCCTTGGCAGGGAGCGTTCACCGGGCAGGACGATGAAGATCGTGGTCACCAAAGTGCTGTGTCTGCTGGGCATCTGTGTCCTCATGCTGGCTGGGTCCCTCCTCCCCGTCAAGATAATTGAGGCTGATTATGAGAAAGCTCATCGCTCCAAGAAGGTTCTTGCCCTCTGCAATTCTTTTGGAGGAGGGGTCTTCCTGGCCACCTGCTTCAACACCTTGCTGCCTGCCGTGAGAGAAAAGGTAACTGCTCAGGAGAGTCTCAGGCAACGTTAACGAACCTGTGCCATGGGGAGGAGCCACCCTCCCCTCTCCTGCCCTGCAGGAGCCCAGGCTACCAGACCTCTGCCCCTGTGGAAATGTGGGTGGAGGGTCCACGCCGTGCCAGAGCAGCCCACAAAGCCTCCTCAGCCATGGCTGCGCTGTGCCTGGTGTTTCAGATCAGGAGGGCGAGCTGCACCCACCTCCCCTTCAGCTGCCGGTTACTGTCTGCGTGGAGTAGCTGGAGACTTTTTTGGATGCAGAAGGAGGCTGAGCGTCGCCTGGGGCGTGAGGCTCCAACTCCTGCCATCGACCCTGTGTTCAAAACGCTTCCAGGCGGCCGTGGACCTTCCACTGGAAGGCAAATAGGTTCCTTGTCTCTTACACTGAGGCCTGCCTTACACTCTACCCTGTAGAAGGGTAGTAAAGCGATGTGGGTCGATGTAGTATCCATTTAGAGTTGTATGAACACGGCAGGAATGTTTCCCTTTGGAGGGACCAAGGTGATTGATTCACTGTGGATTGTTTGCTTCGTTGCAGCTTGATGAAGTTCTCAGGCAGGGGAACGTGACCACGGACTACCCAGTGGCCGAGACCATCATGATGGTTGGCTTCTTCGTGACGGTCTTTGTGGAGCAGCTCGTCTTGACCTTCCAGAAGGAAAAGCCCTCCTTCATTGACTTGAAGACCTTCAATGCCGGCTCGGATGCTGGAAGCGACTCTGAATATGAGAGTCCCTTCATCGCATCTTCCCGAGGCCGCACGTTCTACAGTGAACACGGTCACCACTCCCACACCCACAGCCTGAACGTCCAGGAGCTCTCCCGCTCCGGCCCCTTACGGCTCATCGGGCTGGTGTTTGCTTTGTGTGCACACTCCATCTTCGAGGGACTGGCCCTGGGCTTGCAGGAGGAGAGCAGTAAAGTCATGAGCTTGTTCCTCGGAGTCGCTGTTCACGAGACGTTGGTCGCGGTGGCCTTGGGCGTCAGCATGGCCAAGACCTCGTTGCCGCTGAAGGATGCCGTGAAGATGGCTGTGACGGTGAGCCTGATGATTCCTCTGGGCATTTGCATTGGGATGGGGATTGAGAGCACCCAAAACGCAGCCAGCAACATCACTTCTCTGCTCCTGCAAGGCGTCGCAGGGGGCACTTTCTTGTTCATCACCTTCTTTGAGATCCTTGCGAAGGAGTTGGAAGACAAGAACGACCGTCTCTTGAAGGTTCTCTTCCTGGTGCTGGGCTACACGGCTCTGGCTGGACTGGTCTTCTTCAAGTGGTGAGCGTGGGAGCGACGGGAAGTGAACCTCACCTCCTTCCCTGACAAGCGGCGCTGGAGATGAGCTCCCCTTCAGCCAAGGGGGACACTGAAGCTCCACGGCCAAGTGAAGAAACATCACGGTCCAGGTGGTATTTCCCTATTGACCCCAAGAAGGAGAATTTCTTCCTGTGTGCTCAGAGGGAGATAAAAAGGAGTGTCCCAGTGTAGGTGTCACAAGGTGTTGTCCCTGCGGTTGGATCTGTGGGTGCAGCAGCTTGTGCAGAGATCAGTCGACGCAAACATTGAGAATCTGGTCCAAAGGCTGCCTGCGGGGAGCTCCTCAAGCATGTGGTTTCCTGTAAATCTGCGTGGGCAGCCCCCTCCCTCCTTCCCCCCGCACCCGGCGCGGGCTCCGCGGCTGAGGGTCTGCTTCCTGCGCGCCCGGGCTCGGAGGTGAGGAACAGGAACAGGCGTAAAGTCCCGAGCAGGTGGGATGGCGGATGGCACGGCTGCGCTAAGCTGCTTGGCTGGCTTAGTTTTGAGCAAAACCTGGCTGTAATAGCTTCCGAAAATAGCATCCCTTCTGGGGCGGCTCCGTGTGCCTGGTGCCACAGCTGCGCCCGAGCGGAGCGTCCCAGTTAACCCACACGTGGCTCTGGGAGCTTTTCCTCAGGGTGATGAACAGAAGAAACGAGGCTCGGCCGGGCCCCTGTCCCGTGCTTTGTTCTCCGCAGCTCATCCATACGTTGAGCATTCCGTACCGAAAACCTCCAGCGTTTTCAAAATCCTCACGTCCCTGCCCGAAGGCCGTTCCGCAGCACTCGCGGGGCGCAGGATCTGTCCGTTTTTTCGGACCGGGCACCGGCAGATTCCAGCATTTGT